ACAATTTGAGTAACCAGTGAATCAAAGTAGTGGAAAAAGAACAACAGTTTGGTTTTACATGGCATTTTTCTTCTTTGACGCTCCCAAGCTTGTAACAAGATAAATGTAAATCAGGCTGACATGTCATCACTCCAGTGGTCATAAATTTTAACTGCAGTCCTCCTCGGTGAGTTTCTTTTTTTTTCTTAGTATCCAACTCATTATTGGAGTTTTGAGTCTCTATTTATCTTTTCCACTCTTCCTTTCCTATAGCGGATGCAAGGATGCTTTATTGTTCCCCTTATCTCTTAAATACAAACATGAACTAATAATGATAAGAAAAATTTATGGCTGAAAGTCACATTGTTTGAATTAGATCCCGACAACTATAATGGGAGTAATAAATGTGCATGAAAGCCCTTATGCTGCACCTGGAAAGAGCATTAGAAGCCTTTTCCAGACTTCCTCTCTTGCACAGGCCGAATATCTCATAATGGAAACTTCTTCTGTTTCAGATTCAGGAAGTGGGCTCTCAAACAGCAGAGATCTGGGGGCCCCATCAGAGTGAAATGAGCTGCAGCGTCACTTATCAGGTACTTCTTCACAACTCGTGCCCATGTGGAATATTTGAGTAAAATAAGCTCAAAGCAGGGGCCCTGGGGCCCATTATTATCAACCAACACGACATAATTGCTGAACGGCTGCTGATTTGTTTGGTGATAAGCATCCTCAGCATGCATGTAACCCAGCCCTGCTGGGAGGAGGAATACAAAGTCCTTACGCTTGAGTAGCAGAGTCGACTCAGAGGTTTGATTTTGGGAGTCTACAGGCATGCAGTTTTTATCCCACATGCAATTATCCATTACTGTAACTGCTCTCTTTCATGGTCAGAGTAGAGCTGGACAGTCTGCATTCCTGAATGATTAAACCCTATTAAAGGTTTCTGAGATTACATGTAAGAGTACAAAGAATGCACTTTGACAATCAGAAAAAAAGCTTTAAAATGAGTGCATGTTTACTTGGTTTCCACTAAGTATAACGGTTGTTTACAATTTCACTATTTGAAAGTAACAGTCTTTGTAGAACTCAGAACATCTCACTGTATTTGCACTGGAAAATATCTAAATCTAGATAAGTAATTTTTTCTTAAAATTAGTGCATTTGTTCTTGAATTGAGGAGGTTAAATAATCATCTTGCCAATGGAACAAGACAATTTACATTTAAAATAAGAAAACACAATTGCATTGTCTTATTTCAAGTGCATATTATCTAAATATCTTATTTTAAGAGTAAAAACACTAAATCCATTGGCAAATCAGCTCATTTACCTTCTCAAATTAAGGTTAAATACATTTAATTTAAGAAAGTTTTACTTATTTCTAGATCGTTTTTGCAGTTTGTATCATTCTAAGCTGAAGTCAGAATCTCTCACATTTGTCATACCAAGGTATCATCTACAGTTCCTTCAATTATTTTATTGTTTCAATGTTTAGTGTGCAGGGATGGCAACTCAAATCCATCCGTCTGTTCTTGAGATGGGCTCAGGTCCAAAGCAGAGGGCATTACATGAAAATGTGTTTACAGTAAGAAAATACCATTCAGAGAGCAAGTAGAAATTGTACGTTGTTTACATTGGTTGGAAAAGTTTTCGGAGATCAAAAATCCATCAATCAAAAATCTCTGTTATTAGGAGATCATAATGGAAATTTGTTGAGATATTTGGTTCAAAATGCACATAAAGGACTCAAAAAGAAATGTTTTGTATAACACTTTTATGGAAAAATAAGCATAATTAAAATGAAATAAAAACACTAAACATTTAAAGCGCTAAAGTCTTTTAAGAAAAAATTTAACATTTTTTGAAAATAAAAACATCTTAAGAGGACAAATATATATGGAAACTAGCATATAGTATTTACTTAATATGCAACATTTGTCAGAGCAGATAATGAGCTGTGCTCTAGGGCATTACTACTCAATGTGCAGCTTATAGCACACATAGGTTTTAGAAATCAGGACCTATTTCCAGGATTAGGGCTACGGTTCTAAAAGGGCAGTTTTTCACAGATAACTTATGATTTCATGTTTTTTTATAATGTTTTTTTGAGCTTCTAAGGAAGCTTGTCTGAGGTTACATAGATATGACCTCATTTTACATTTTTACAGCTTGTTCAGGAGTATACTTTGAATGTATGGTATCTCGCAAAGCATTATATATTACGTATTGCACCTTTACTTATAGACATGTTTTAACGGATATGGCTACATGCAGTTATTTGACAGTTTGATTAATTTACCTATTGCTTTATCTAAAGATTCAGCTTCATACATAAATGATGGGCTTTTAAAATGAATCCATAGGAGGTTTAAAGGTTGTGCCTTCTGTGTTTATTACTGCAAAAGATGTCTTATTTTATTCTAAAAGGGCATTTGGTTTGCAGGAAGGGTCAAAGGGAAATGTCCAGTGAGAAAGTAAAACATTGCTTGATTGTGTGTGTGTCCTTGTGTGAGTAAGAGAGACAGACAAACCCACCCTGATTTAAAGGGAAATAATGGAAAAATGTAATTTACCCTTCAAAATAAAAGCACACTTAGTGTTCACTCTTTTGTTTTCGGCGTAGGACTGAGATGAACATATTATAACATACACAGAGGTGGGTTAAGTACCATAACATTTTACTCCAGCAGAAGTAGCATTGCTTTTACATTTTACCTCTGTTTGATATACTCAAAGTAAACGTATGAAGTCGTACAAGAAATTACTCAAGTAAGAGTAAAAAAAACAGAGTACAAAGTAATAAGGCTATGCAAGCACTGAGTCATTTTTGGACCATTACACCTGATTTAATGAATAAAATAAAGTGATCGGACAATGAGTAATGTGCACATTCTGTACTTTAATCATCGGAAAAAACAACAATATATATATATATATATATATATATATATATATATATATATATATATATATATATATATATATATATATATATTTTTTTTTAAATACATTATTAGATATAAACATATTTAAATAAATTATTATTATTATTAGTATTGCATACTTGTCTGCTTACTTAATTTTCACCTGATCTTAGAATCGTTGCTCTTGGTAGGAAGAGTAACCAATGATTTTACTTAAATAAGAGATAAATGCACCAGGAAGTGTTAGCACAGATCCTTCCTCCCAGCAGATGGAAGACTCTATAACCAACATTGTTCCCAACAACCTCAATAACTTGTTACATTCATGCTGATTTTGCACAGTTTCTATCTTAGTCAGTTAAATAACATGCTGATGTCATTTTGCACATCTCTGATGTTGCTGTCATTTTTTCCAAATATCCATTACTGTAAAAAGGTCCATAGCTGTATGTGGGTTGTTTATTCTCCAGGTGCATAGTTTTTATATTATTAAAACACTTTAAAGTGCAGTATTTCATAGGGGTGTAAATCGCACCCATCATGGCAATTCGATTCAGTATCAATTTCCTGATTGATTACCCAATGATTCAATTATTTTCGATATTCAAGAATACAATACGATACGATTCGATTAATTGGTTACTTTTTTTTTTACCTTAGAGACTAGACAATGTTTCAAATTTGAAATAAATCAATGAAAGCTGTAATGTCCTTATGCAGTTTATTTGAGAAACAACAGCAAATAACAGAAGTAGCAAAGTTGTATTCCCCTTTCACTGAAAAATAATAATGCCTCTGTGTTTACGCGAGTGTGTCTGTGCAAGTGTAAAAGAGTATAGTGGCTAAAGGAAGCGCGGTAGGAGGGCAAAATAGTTTTAGCGCCACCGCAGCACGTGAGTCAGAATTACTTCCAGGAGCAAATGGATAAAAATAGACCGGAGGAAAAAAATTAATCGATACACTTGCGGACGTGTCGATGCATCGAATCGTCGGCTGTTGGATCGATGCATCGATACTAAACGATTATTATTTACACCCCTATTATTTCATATGTTTATTTTTTAACTCTTCACTATTGTGCTATTCTTATCTTCTATTCTATTGCATTGTATTCTAAAATATTGATTCAAGCAAAAATACATGCAGTCCTTTTTCGGGTTAATATAAAAAAAAAAAAAATAAACATAAAAAACATAGTTTTTTGTGATGCTCTCAAGCATTAAATGCAAAAAAAAACAAAAAAACCCACAAAACATCTTACAGCCTGCAGACCAGTGGCGGATCTAGGGGGCGGCTACTTGGGCTACAGGCCCAAAAGTTTCCCCAAGACTTACATCTTCCAGCCCAAAAAATGTTCATAAACCGCCTGGATATACAAAATCTCACCCGATTTGAACCAAAGTCTATTGATCTCTTAGGCCATAAATCTAAAGAAACATTTTTTTCACTCATAGACGGCCATCCTAAACTGCCAGATTGGGAAACATCCCAACCTGGCAACAACGTAATGTACGTTGTTGCACGTAAGATGGGAAACATAAGCCTTTAGATGCAAAAAACCCATCATGCACCAGAACATATTTTTGCAAAATATTCAAACATAAATTCGCCAAATATAAGAGGAACATCTTAGTTTGGTTTAAAGAAAGCATTTTAGTTTTATTATAATTTAGTTTTTTGCGAGAATTTTACAGTTTGAAGAAATAGAAAATTACACCATATGCTAACCGTCACAAGGATGGTCATGACAAGGAAGGGTATATATACTGCATGCATAATTTAGGTAGTTAATATAGTATTTCTTCTTGAGCTCAGTGAATTATTTACCATACTGTTACAGGTAGGTATTTCGGGCGGTATCACAGATTAACAGTTTCTTTAATCTCGTAATCTGTCATATTATACATTAAAACAGTATTTACCAGAAAGTCTACACTCTCATCTTTACTCTCAGGGCTAAGCCCCTGGTCTCCGAGAATCCTAGATCATCCCCTGCTGCTGACTACGAACTAAACTTACACTGCAGGAGCTTTTATTTTGAAAGAGTCAGACGGAAGCAGCTGGTAGTCGCTCCAGCTGGTTTCCCTCAAACTCCAGCAGCTTCAGTCCAACCAGACAAACCCGCAGAGCTGCGGGGAGAGCATGTAACTCTCCGCTTTGTCAACACAAACCCTGACCATGTTCCGTGTTTGTGGAGGAGAAGCTTAGAGAAGGAAAACAGCGTCAAAAGCAGATTTTCCCTCAAAACTCTTTTAAACTAAAGGAACCCGTGGGAAGCTCTGCACGGTAGGTCTTTATCGAGTTTTCTACTTAAAAAGATTCCAACATAAAATGCAACAAATATGTAAAGGCTTTAAATGTTTACGGAAATGGTTGAAAGGTTGTTTGAGTTGTTTTGTTTCATGTTTGTAAAGTTTTGGTGTGTTAATCACCTGCGGACAGGTGTGAGTCTCTGCTAAAATTAACAAAAAATAATCAAAATACAAACTTTTAGTTATAAGAAGAAAACATTCTTATTGGATTTTACATATATTTGTTTTTCTTTTTTTAAACAATATTTTTAATGGACGTATGAGTGAGTTATGACAGGTTGGGTGGATGCAGAAATAAACTAGTTCCTGTAGAGTAATCACACTAATTTCCTGCTCAGGCTCCTGTCCAGGGATCTACCTCAGCAATTATCCTTATCATGGATTTTCAGTATTTCCCTCCATCTTCTCAGACTTAATTTCTTTTTTTTATCTTATCCGTTTGAAAATGTGGATATTTTCTGCTGTGCGGCTGTGTTGGGTGACTAATGGATGCATGCATAATGCAGCACTGTTTCCTTGGGTCCTGGTTGGAGGCATATACAGCTATCTGTTCACCTTGAATGTTTAAATTATGTGTATTTTAAATTTTTTGTTCACACCCACAAACTCCAACATATTGTATGAGATAATATACTACAAAGTTATTCCAAACATGTGATTAATAAGGTTTTCAAAATGTTGTAATCTGTAAATTTATGCTCAAATCTAAATTTTTTTCCTCATCTTACCAGAGCATCCTGGTCCATTTTTTTTATTGTGTCCCATTACTTTTTTTGGCTTTCTTTTCATGTTTGCTTTCTTCTTGCTTTTCTGCATTAAAGGCTAAATGTCCATAATGGAATAAGGTAAAATGAAAGTTTGAAGTATTGCATAAGTAACTGGTACTTGGTCTTTTTATCGGTTTGCACGGTTTTAATAAATAAATCAGTATCACTCTTCAAGTAAGTAAAAACAAGAGATTCTAAGTTGCAGGGATTGTCACATTAGTTAGCCCAACTTAAATGATTGTGTTTATAGTAGATACAAAATAAAGTTCACATGGCACTACTTCGTTGTTTGAAATAGTAATCCTACTGTAGTTCATACTAAGTCTAAGGAGTAGATCTGAAGTAAATTGTCAAGTACACCGCACACATTTTTTAGTTACTTAAACTCAAGATTAAGTTAACTGTACTAAACAAGGATTTGCCAATACAACACTTAAAGGGGAACGCTGTTTGATTTTAAGCTATTACATCATGTTCTACTCACCAATATAAGTTTTGTGTCGTTTGGAGCCGTTCTGGAGATATTCCGTTAGGTTATATCCAGGTAAAGTCTTCCTATGGGTAGTCGACTTGAAGGCACAAACTAAACTGTTCATAATTTATTCGTTATGGTACGCCAGCATTCATAACATGTAGGCATCACTGTCCCCCAGACATTCGCGGTTATATTTTTTATATTTATATGTTTTAAAAACAAAGTGTGTATGACGTCGCCCGTGCGTGCGGCATTCCCCTTTAATGCCTATTCCACTGTACTTAGGTTTTAAAATCAATCGGTTTGCGTGCTTTTTTTAAGTAAGGTTAACTAGTCAGAAGTCTGTAGCACTTGTCTGTTAAAAGTATTGTCCAATCCAAGCTGTTGTTCTCTGCAGCTTCAATCCAGGGTTTTGAATAGTTTTGCAAATTTCTCTTATCTCCCTTTTAATGGATAGATCGTCATATGGTCCTTTCAATAAGGTGAAAATGAAAACTTAGAAAAGCTAAAACCAACATCAAAAACCACTGTAAGAAGTGATTTATCACAGCTGGTATCTTCATTGCATTGTCTGCTTATTATTAGATTGCCATAAATGGTTTACTAAGATTTTGCATGTCTGTTAAATCATAGTGGTGAATTCACGGTATTAAGGAAAAAAAAAAAATAGAAAATGTTGTGCTTGGTGTGTTTGGGGGAAAAAAATCCAGACAGAATTCTGATGAAATATCAGATTTTAAATTGGCTGAAATCAGATGTAGTTAAGTGAGTAATGATTTTCAACCATCTGATCGTTTAATGTAGACCGAGAAAAATATCTCCCTTGGAGGCTGTGTGTCATGAAGCTGTAAACATGGTGTATGTGAGTCACTTCCAACATCTCCTCCCCCAGATACATGGAGGCAAAGAGGAACAGAATGAATAACTTGTAGACCTCTGGCCTTTTGCTGCAATTTTTTTAATTTTATTTAATTTTATCATCTAGATCACTATTAACCAAAGGGAAATAATAAAACAAACAAACAAAAGTAACAAACGTTTTCAACATCAATTCTGTCAAATTTACTAAATTTGACAGATGGAGGCTATGTTTATTCATGGCGGCACACATCAAAATAATAACACACATATAAAATTAGATCAAGACCACATTGTTTAGTATATTAATTATATTAAATGTGCCAGAAAGCCAAGGTTGCGTACTTCTGATCTTAAAACAAAATGGTATCCTATAGGGATGCACGATATAATCGGCCCCCTATCGGTATCAGCCTGTATCGGCCTTAAAACTGAATATCGGACATCGGCCACCCCACCGATATTTAACCCGATATTTGATCAGCTTCTGAGTTTCTAAAGTGTAAAAAATAAAATTAAAAAAATACTACTTCTTCTTCTTCTTCCTCAAAAACTTCTTTTTTACAGACTTAAAAACTTCAATATCTTCATATGCTGATATATTGCCATTTAAAAACAATCTCTTTTACTAATTAAATATTGCTATAAGTCATCGTTATGCTACGAAACCCCCCGAAAATTCACGAAATTTTGCCATATTTTAATATGTTGATATATTGACGCGGTATCGATCTATTTTACTAACAAAATCTCACAAGAATTTGCAAAATATCACAAGAGTTTGTAACAGAACGATGAAATTTCATGAGATTTTGAAAGTAAAATAGATCGATACCGCGTTTTTAAAAATCAATTTGATATCAGCATATGAAAATATATTTGAGTATATTATTTTTCAAAGTGTCAGAAATGGATAAAAAAAACTGCTATTTTCAATGACTACTTATTTTTGTCCAGCTTTAACATCAGTATCGGTTATCGGCTACATGAGTTTTAAAATATCGGCATATCGGATATCGGCCAAAATCCCAATATCGTGCATCCCTAGTATCCTATCTCAGTCTGAGTCTAAGTTTGAAATAATTGCCAAAGTTAATTGTCCAGGCAACATATTAAATCGCAGAAACTGATCTAAAATGTTTCAATATAAGTTCATGTTGCTCTTAATTTAAGCAGGTAAATAAAATAATACATAATATAATGAATAAATAAAATTATCTGGGAAGGGAATCAGTATTTCAGCTCTTAGAATAAGATGATTACCTATTATGGACTTGAAATAAGATAATAGAGATGTCCTGTTTAAAAGGTAAATCCTCTTATTCCATCTCCAAACTATATTACCTCTTTAAGTCAAGGCAAAAAATATACATACTTTTATAAAAACTAACCTACTATTTAATTTTTTTGCTGTCCCTTTCTAGAACCGCCCATGCCTATAGGCTCAAGAGTAGCATATTTGAATTCCTAAGAGGAATGGCATTTCCCTTGTAGTGCCATGTACTGCCACTCCTTCCTTTGACTAGTGTCGAGCAAGAACTCCAGAAACACAAAACAAGCCGTGTTTTCCAAAACGTGAACTTTGTAACAACGTGGTCCTTTTGTTTACCAGCGTTCGTCATGCACAAGTGCACAGCAGCCCTGGTGGTGTTTACATGAAAAAAAAATAAAAAAATCCCAGGGGTGCTCATTTTCTGTAATTAATAAGATCTAAAAAAAAAACATCCAGTCTATTTTTGGAAGCAGCTGCCTCATCTGTAAAGTATTGGCAAATAGTTGAGATGATGAGAACACTGCTCCTCCTCTGCAGGATGTTGGATTTACGTACCTTTAGATTTCTGCACCTGAAGCAACACAGTGAGGTCAAGGTCTCACCTGAAAGGTTTTCTTTGAGGAGGTGGAGATTTGTCTGTGGGATGTTTGCATTTATTTGCATTGATCAGTTCTTGGGGATTTTTCTCTTCCTCGTAGGAGATCTGTTTCGTCAGCATTTCGGTTGCATAACACTAGTTTTAGATATACCTCCTTTTTCCTATTAAAAAACATGATTTTAAATCTCAAAATCGGCTCAATTAATTTCTAATCTGTTACTATCGATTCCCTTTAAAGAGAGACATCCTGACATCCTCATTTGCCTTTTACCGGTAGTTGTTTTTTTTGCATCAACCTACATGAGCTTACCCTTCTTATTGGTTGGAAACATTTGCGTTTTGCATGAGAATACTACATGTATTCTCATGCGGGAAGGCTCCTTCTGTTTGGCTGCTCTGAATTTTGTCCTTGAGCCGTTTAAACAGAGGGTCAAGTTCCTCTGTTCTTTCTGTTAAGCTGCACAAACCTTCCTCTGGAACAAATGGGGAGAGCCAAACTTTAGGAGACAAGTCAACAATGGGGGCACAGTAAGAGCTGTCAGACAACATGAAGGCTGTATTTAAGCTTTCCTCTGGGACCGTCACATCAAGAGCAACACTGTTAGAGAATTTACAGGCTTCCTTTGTTTATGCTGACCCTCATTGTGTGGAGATTACTCTGTTGTTGATGGCTGTTCTTTGCAATTAGTGATTTCGCAAAAGTGCACTATTTACAGCTTTTACAAAGACTCATTATGTTTTTTTCCAAATATATATATATATATATATATTAGTGCTGTCAAAATTATCGCATTATTATCGCGTAAACGAGAGGCCATTTTAATGGCGAGAATTTTTTTAACGTGAGATTAACGCTATGTGGTTTTATGGTACAATTTTCCAAGTGCATCCCGCTGCAGCCTGCGGGAAGGCGAGGCAATTTTCCCCCAGTCTATGCATTTTCCATAGGCTTCGAGAGCGGAGAGCTCCTCAAGGAAAAAAGACGCTCATACACTGGGTGGCG